AGCAGCAGCAGCAGCAGCAGCAGCAGCAGCGGCATCGGGCGCTCTTTCGCGCAGGCGGGGACGGCAGGGAACGCCCAGAAGGCGAAGGCAGCAGCACCCCGACCCGGAGAAGCTGCAGCCGCAGCGGCGACCGCCCCGACGCGCACCACCCCGCTCACAGCAGCAGCAGCAGCAGCAGCAGCAGCGAGGTTCTGTCTGCAGACACGGCCTCCGGGCAGGCCAAGAGTGCAGCCTCCCTCTACGCCCTTGTTACCCAGCAGCTGCCGCGGCTCACAAAACTCAAGACTGCAGCAGAGTGGGGAGCCTCTGTGGGCCTTTTGCCCCCGACGCCCCCACGCGGCTCTGGGGCCCTTTCCCCTTCGAGGTCTCAAGAGCTCAACGGAGCTGCGCATGCACAGGACGCCGACTCGCAGCAGCCGCAGCAGCAGCAGTGGGCGAGCTCGGCTGCTGCTGCCCCGGCTGCAGTGGCGGCAGCAGCAACGGCGGCTGCAGCAGCAGCAGCAGCAGACAACGCCACGCTGTTCTTCCCGCCCGAAGCTGTGGAAGAACTCCGAGAATCCCTCGAAGTCTACACTCCGGCGGACCTCCGGGGGGCCCTGGGGGCCCCCCAAAAGCTGCAGGGCCTCTACCTGCGGGTGCTGCTGCTGGGGGGGCAGCACTACGTCAACTGCGGCTTCTTCCGCCATGCTGCGCTGCTGCAGCTGCGCATTGCAGCAACTCACTTAGAAAGAGGAGACACGCGAGAGTGCCAGCTAGCCATCCAGAGGATGCTGCCGCTCTTCTTAAAAGAGCCCTGGACAGATGTGAGTCTATATACTTTAGCTAGCCACTCGCGGCTGTCTCTAGTGAACGCCAGCTGAGGCGAACTGCCTAGCTAGACATCGCGTTGCCCAGCTAGCCATCAAGCTGCTTAGCTAGCCACGGCATTGCTCAGCTAGCCATTGCGTTTTTCAGCGAGCCACCGCCTTTCCCAGCTCGCCATTATGCTGTCCAGCATCGTGTTGGCGGCTAGCTAGCCATCGTTTTGCCCAGCTAGCCATCACACTGCCATCACGTTGCCCAGCTAGCTATCATCCAGCGAGCTAGCTGTTTTTCTGTGTTTTCTAGCTGGCCTCCCATTGCTTTGCAGCTAGCTGGGTTGCCCCGTGGCTAGCTGCTGCGGGGCCCATCTCCAGCTTAATTAGCTGTTATGTGGCACTTCGTAGAAGGCTGTTGCTCTTGCTAAGCAGCACTTTTGTCTTGCTGCCAGCACCTTAAAATACAACTCTTCATTTTTTATTCGTCTCCTCTTTGTGCATTGGGACGAGCTGTGCTGGGCCCTGCGGAGAGCTGCTGCAGCAGCAGCCTTCAAGGCTGCTGCTGCAGCAGCCTAAATGAGCTTGTTAATTGTATGGGTGACTGGCAGCTGCCTTTGGGGGTTTGTGTCAGTGCCTGTCTTCGCCGCTTTGGCCGCTGCCAGTGGGCACTCTGCAGCTGCTGCACCTGCTGCTACTGTTTGGTTGCTCGCAGCTTTGGGTTTGCTGCCAGAAGCTGCTAGCCCGAGCAGAGGCAGCGCAGGGGAACAGGGGAGGAGCTCTGGCGACGCTGTACGCACTCAGTAACTCTTCTGCGGCGAGGTACCAGCAGCAGCAGCAGCAGCAGCAGGAAGATCTGCTGCAGCGGGAGCCGCAGCAGCGGAAACAGAAGCAGCATTTAGACTGTCTGGAGGCCCAAGACCTCGGGGGCCCTGCGCACTGTCTTCGCCGCTTCCTTTCTTTGGCCTCAAGCAAGAGCAGCACCGCACAAGAAGCAGCAGCAGCAGCAGCTGGTGCCGCTGCTTGCCCCCGCAGCGACCCGGCGCAGCCGCAGCAGCAGGAGA